TCTGTGATTCTGTGATTCTGTGATTCAAGCTGCATACAGTGTAGATGTAGCACTAACAATTTTAATCTACTGATTGTTGCCTAGTGCACTGAATTCTTGTTAATGAGATATAGCATATGTGAAAATCCCTGGATTCTAGTTGAGGGAGGTTTTTGGTTTTGTGGGTTTTTTTGTTTGTTTTGGGGGTTTTTGTTTGTTTGTTTGTTTTTTCTCCTCTGCTAGTTACTTTACTGCAGTTCTCTAGGTTTTATTTCCAATGTGGAACTGGGAAGGCCAAACGTATTTCTAAATTTCAGAAAAAGGATTGGTTATTTATATTAATAGCAAAAAATTATTCATTAATATTTCTCATTTGGGAAAGATACCAGTTTCAGATACTCTGGTACAGCTGGCCATGCAGGGATTTTGGGGAAGAGCAGTAAATATCTGCTGCAGGATGGTTTTTAACGCCTTCTTTTAAAATGTATGGTGCTTGCCACTCTGACACAAAATTCAGAAATATATTGATCTGAGACACTATACAGCTTGATATTTGTTGTTTCTCAACAGCTTTCTACTTGTTCTTTGTGCTTGTTTTCAGTATTCCTTGCATAAAGCTGAACATACTGTCAAACATTTGATGTCATGGGTTTGGAATGAGTTGAAAAGTAAAATCAATCCGTTAATAATTAAATCAGTTCAGCCTTCATTGTTGAATTAGGTAATGCTTCTGCTTTTTGTTTGACATATATATTGTTGTTTTGTGAAAGAGCTACTTAGTGCAACACAGATAAACTGAGTAGTATTGCTGCTGCTTTTTCATCAATTACAAATCAGTTAAGGTAATAAAATAAGCTTCATTGACTGAACTGTAATGGCTAAAATTATTTCCTTATGTGTTCTTTTTGTAATACACAGGAAGAAATATATATGGCAGATTTTAAGTTTAATTTTTTTTTTCGTAGTGATCTTAGTGAAAATCAGATTCAAGCGATACCACGGAAGGCATTCCGAGGAGCAGTAGACATAAAAAATCTGTAAGTATTTTTCTCCTTGTTGCATGTATTTTGACAGTAATGTTTTTGTCAATACAGTGTCCTTTTGTTGTAACAGGTCTCTTTTTCCTAAGCACTTTTATAGCTGCTTAAGGAATCTCTGCATAAAAACAACATGTACCATTTGTTTTGGCAAGATATTTTAAGCATCCTAAAATTACCCAGTATGAAATCTAAAACATTGAAATGGAGTTTGATACAACAAGGCATTATGACTATTTGCTTATGGTAATCAGAGTTTAATATTTGAATCAGGCTATTTTAAACATTTCATTGTTACATGTTGAAAACTTCATTTTGCCTTGGGTCTAAGAGTTTGCCTTTGGTTAGCTCATTTAAAAGAAAAGAAAATCATACTGTTATCTAGTTTTGCTAGCATACATTTTTGTATTTGTGTGACTACTTATCTTACACAGTTTTCTTCTGTGTTAAAACAGCTTTCTTCTGCTGCCTGCAGCACTGTGCACAAATTGGCTAGCAGGGTGTTTTTTAGAGATTTAGCCAAATGCCCAACATTTTGCCTAGTTGATATAGTTAGAATTTTTTTAACCATGTTTGCAATACTGTTCTTCCCTGCAATGAAGTCCTACCACATCTCAGTGGAAAAACTATTATGTTCAAATCTGTTATTTTCATAAACATGCAAGTGCTTCTCAAAGTATCTTTGTTACTTTCTTTAATTGATGTTTTATGACTTTCTATTTAGAACTAGTGTTATCATTCATGGTCTAAAAGAGGCTTGGCTGCAAGGAGAAGCCTGCATTTTTCTGCATGATCTTTCATATTAGAAAATAGATACAGAAAGGAACTTTGGTAGTAAAAATGAAAGCATAATCGACGATTTTGTAGTGACAGGGCAGTATTTTACAATGTAGTAAGTATACTTATACATTGTGAGGTGGTTCATCAGAAACTTCATTAGGATGCAAATCTTTTAAGATAATACTTATATACTGGTGTGCATTTTCAATGTAAAGATCCTGAATTATGTCTAAACTTGCATAAAACAGTAGATCTGCCTTTTAAAGTCTTTCTATTTGGGGAGATAATTAAAAAAAACCAAACCAAACCAAAAAAAAACAACAAAAAACATTCATAAAGGCCATAGCATTACCATGAAATCCAAATTATATCTGTGGCATAACAGTTTATTGTGATAATGCAAATACCACAGATACATCCTTTATTGGTGGTCTCGGGGCTGAAACCTTATGATTCCACTACAGTGAAAGTCCTAGGAAATATATTTCTCTGTCTTGTAAATGCTGCCTACATTCCTGGTCATTCAGGAAGAGCACCTTATACTGTGTGAGATATAGATGTATCATCAGAATGGCAAGTGAGTCTGTAAGGCTAATCAGGTGGATTTTAGCACAGCTTTTATGTAACTAGATCAGCCTTTCCAGAATCTTAGGCAAGAAGGAGGTTTGAATCCTAGCCTTCAATCTACACTTGGACATGACACTTAGAGAAGGATGATGGCAAAAATGGTACTATTTTTATTTCATTGTTCGAGAAAATTAAGGAGACAATTGGTGAGTGGTGTAGAAAGCATCACTCTGCAGATAGAAGAAACTCTGAAGTGAAGGTATTTAGCATCTATTGGGCAATTGACCTAAGGTCCAGGAACCAATTATTTGTGTATACTTACTGAGAACTGTCATAACAGGTTGCAATGTTTCTTCTAATTTCAGCATTTCTTCTGTAATTGTCTAGTGGCTAAGCATAATGTTAATGGTGTTAACCATACTTATAGGTAAATAGGTAAACAGATAGGTAAATGTTGTAAATTCAGGATTTGCTTTGTCTACCAACATTAATTACATCAATTTCAATATAAACTTATATAAACTTAAGCAAAAGGTTTTTTTATCCCATACAGTAGCTCAAGTACTCTGTTTCAAAATCAGGTAACAAATCTCACAGAAGTTCACCTGATTACGTATTTTATTTTCCTTAATGGAGACTTACCATTCTCTAACTCTCTCTAAATATTTTCTGAGTTGGAGTATTTTGGAAAATCATTTTATTGAATCTCAGGAATGTTCTAGTCTTCATGGAGAAAAATGAATTAGATGTCATCTCAGATTATCCGAAGGAAATTGCTTCCTTTAAGGTTGATGATACCACTATGATCTTTTTATTTCCTGCTTATATGTTAGCTCTAGAGTTCTCTTGATGTTTCTCAGAAGAAGCTGTCTAGTTTCCATAAAATGTGGCCACAGTACTTCCTGTCTGGACATCTTCTTAATACCATTCATAGTATAGGTTCTCTAGAAAATGAAAGCAAAACGGGCAAGGTATTGTAAGAATTGGCAACCCAGGAAACCTGCCACACCCTTATGGTAAAAAACTGAAAAACCCATTCCCATTTCCTAACTTTTTTTTTTGCTTCTTGTCTTATAACTGAGAATAATCTATCTCTGTTTATACCTTCCCTTTAGGCAGAAGATTTAAAACTGGCATTGTCACTAAAGGCATAACTGAATTTTGTAGTATTCTTCGTTGGCAATGATTGGACACTTTTTTCAAGTTCAGTTTTATTAGCAGTCAAAAACCATAGAGTACTGCAGAAGATCTTCTAGTTACTGATTTCTTCTCAGATCATGCAATATAACTTGATGTTTGCTTGTTTATTCATCTGCACAAGTGCTAATCCAAATGACTTGCTTGTCTTAAGACATGATTTTACTATTTAGAATTGATGTATTTCTCATGCTTGTTCTTAGTGGGAATATTAATTCAACTACTAGTCTGTTCAGCCACCTGTGTTTCAGGTATACATCAAAAAGGATTTTAACAGGATGTCAGTGTACACTTAAGAGTTTTATTAAATAATAATAATATCTCTGAAGGAATGAAGTAAAGAACACAGACACTTTTCTAAAACTTGTTGTCAAACAGATCAGCGATCTTGTGGCCTTTGGGAAAAAAGCTGTTCTTTTGGACTGTTTAAATAAGTACCATTTCAATACTATTTTTAAAGTTATTTTCATTACAAATTACTTTCCTAGAATCTGTCCTGGTAAAAACAATTTATTTTTTGTCAAAAAATTAGTTTATGAAATGTTAGAAGTCAGTTATATTTTTAAGTCAAGCAGAGCATTTGTCTTTGAAGATTAGTTTTAAATCAGAATTCTCTGAATGCAAATCAGAAGCTTCCTTGCAAGTCTTTTTTTGACACTTGAACCACTGAAGAAAAAAATCTATCTGAAATTTACTTGAGTGACAATAAATGTTAGTTGAATAAAACCTAAGCAGCTGAAGTAGGTGTGGTTTCCTCTGCTATTTAAGTGCCAGTAGTTACACAAAATTTTATATGGTATATGAACTTACCCTAATGAAAAATGTGATCTATGCTTCTACTAGGAAAAGTATGAAATGTTGCTGTGGTTTATCTAGTTTCCCATATATTTTCCTGTGATAATACAAAGCAAATTGAGATAGATTAATTTGAACTGAGCTGATAAACCCTGTTGTAGGAAGACTTGGATTCAGTTTTATCCTTAATTATTTTTTTTTGTTATGTCAAGTACTGAGAATAACACAAATCCTCTTTGAAGATTTGAATTTTAAAGAAAAGTAGTTTATGATTATGTTTAATGTTACAGTCTTCTGCAGAAGTTAGTTGGACCTTCAGAAGCCTTTATGCCCTTTGTATCTGTACTACTTTGGAAAGTGAGTCTGTCTCTGCTTTACTAAACAGAGTGGCGTAATCATGTTGAGGAGATTTGTTGATATGTAGAGTAACTAATGGGAAATGGTACTATAGGTAAAGATTTTCTGTATTTAAATAAACCATACTAACAGAACTTTCATGGGTTATGTGTTTCCATGCTAGAACAGCTATTCCTGTTCTATATGTATTTGTTCCCCTCATTATAATAGTCCTCATACTGTATCTACTAATAATCTACTAATCTACTGTAATCTACTTGCTAAACTGCATTTTCTGTGGGAAGTAATACTGATACAATAGTATCTTATCATCACATAACTTACGGATTGTTCATTCTGTGTTCATCCTCCTTTTCATGGCATTCTTCTGTTTAATTTTGACTTTTTTGGGTTTTTTTAAATTATTTTTGCTCCTGGATAATATATAATTTTGAGGGGATGGAGCTATTGAACTATAGATCTATTCTCTATTTCCTTCTAGTTTATTCACTAAGTATGCCTTACTCAAAAGTATTTGTAAGTCTTGCTTTTTAATTTTTGGGATAAAAGTAAAAGATCAATTATTTGCTACATTATATATATCAGAAAAAATATTCATTCAGAAGGTTTTACAGGGAAAATTTTGAAAAAACCAAGATGAACTGTAATAGCAAAATGAACAGCAAGTAGAAAAAAGCACTTGACTTCCAAAGGACAGAATAATCACAATAAATAGTAATCATCATGAAAAACAAGCAGTTCTCTGAAGTTTGATAAAAACTTACAATAAATTCTTACATTATTTTGTTACAGCTTTCTCAACTAATGCCTCTGAAATTATTGATTTGTCTTGAAATTGAAATTGAGAAGGGAATTGAGAAATAGGAAACATAACTCAGTTCTGTTGTAAAAATACAAGGAGTCATTAAGAACAGCAACTGTTCCAAACATTGTCTTGCAGTGATAAATATTGTGCACTCTGTTCTTTTCCAAAGAAAAAAAAATAATTATATGAAATCCAATGTGCAATGTGCTAAAACCAAAACTTTTTTCGAAATGTTTTACTGGAGAGGAAGCTGCTGTAGGGATCTAGAAAGGCTTCTGACTTTTTCTGGTAACTCCTTAAACATTGTTTACCATTACGTTGATACACGAGGAGAATGTAATAGTTTCTGAACAAAGAAGAAGAAGGTGAAGCTGCATGGTGCCTCTCTTGCATGGGACCATAAAATGTCCTCAGGCTGTGAAGAACAGAAGAGTAAAGCAGACAGATTGACTGAAATAATCCCAACGCAGCCTCTATGAATGAGTAAAGAAGGTTTTTCTCTGTCAGAGTCAGATATCAATTTTTTTCTGTATGAGTGTGGTAGTTTTCAAATGTATGCAACATCTTCTGTTAGTCATTGAATGCTCTTCTTGTGGGATAACAAGGCTTATTTTTAGATATTCATCGTTATCTGGTAGACAACATATGCTAAAAGGGAAGAAAATACAAGTTAGCAACGTATTTCTACAGTGTGTAATGTATCAGCAAAAGCAATAAATAAAAACATTTTAAAACGGACATTTTCTTATTAGGTGAATGCTTTTTATTTAGTTCTTACTACTTCTAATAGCTGAACTCACATAAACATTAGCATTTCAAATAGCAGAAGATTATTAAGTATATGAAATACCCAGGTAGTCCTGCAGATATGGGTGCAAAACCTATGTAATCCTCTGTGACAGTGAAAAGATCTTGAATGTGACAGCTGTTGTTTGGTGTTTTATGAGCTTCACAGGAATGGCACTGCCTAAGGTAATCAGCTGCTTTGTGGAAGGTGGGGCGGAAAGGAATAGAAATTTTCCAAAGGGATGGAGAGATCCCACTTAGAAAAGACCCAAGATGGAGAAGGGGTTGGAGGGAAGATAATGAAGAGAGACTGGGGAGAGGGAGCCAGAGGATGGGGCAGAGTAGCTGGTTCATGTCTGGCCAGCTTCTGTTCTCAGGGTGTTCTAATAATTTGAAAGGAAGAAAAGAAACTCTCAGGGACAGGGGGGAAGCTTTCTAAAATGGGGTTAGGATTATTGGTATGCTCAAAAACTTTGTGGTGAGAAAAGTTTCATTACAGCATTGTAGATTTTTATGTGTGATTTTGAAAGTCGTTATGCTAATACCAAATTATAAAACATAAAATGAGAGAAGTCTGATTTTTTTCTCTAGTACTCTTGTTTATGTCTTAAGTCGTAACACTCACACAACTTGATATCAGGAACTGGTCTTATCCAGAAAGAAATTCAGACTGCTTCAGCAGATCCATTAGAGGGACATTGCAAGTTATTGGTATACTAGTTGTGAAATAATGTCTAACTTTCTGTTTGGATTATATATGCAGTGGATATCTTTACCTTAAAACAAATACCAGAAATTGCTTTTCAAGCCAGGCATACAGTCTTCAAAGTCGTGTACCTTTCATAGCTTATAAATATATATATCATGTCAATTGTTTGTTCTTCATGATGTGTGTCTGATCATTTTATATCATGGTCATAACTGATGGAAGATCATCTAAAACATAAAGACGGTAGTAACTTTCAAAGACAGTAATATATAAATCTAGGAAATATTTCTCCTCTCCCACCCACAAAATTCCTTTCCCCCAAACCAAATCCAACTAATGAGTTCAGTGCAAAGTAATCTTTCTGGTAAGAAGATTTAAATTAAAACAACTCACCCTTCACTAAGGTAGCAGAAATGGTGACTCATTAAAGGAAGAAGTCCAAAAGTTTTCATGTGCACCACAACAGCTGTCAGTCTGTTGGAAGAAATCTGCCTTTCAGTTTGTGTAGGACAAAATTTGCTCAAGTGCCTTCTCTACTGTTAAAAGATTTTCCTTTGTGTATACTATGGATGATTTAGAAGAAGCTGTGTCAGCACTGATTTATACAGTGACAGCTAAGGATAATAAGATATGGGCAAACATACAGCTCACCCTTTTACAGATTAACCTGCAGACTGCATTAGGCAAATTTGATGGCATTAAAAGATTTTTCCAATTTGTCTGGAAACAATTTCTCTTTTGTATTGTGTCAAGGGTAACATTTCATGCCATTGTACTAATTTAAATAGCTTTGATAAATTGTTCAAGAGGTTAGAGAATTGTACTGTGTATATATTTTACCTCTTTAAAATAAAAGGGCTATTAACTTAATTGTTCAATGAAATTCATTAGTAAAAATTGAAGGAGCCTGAGAAAGTAGACTGAAGTATTCCAACACTGCAGCATTGGTACTGTAAGATTGCACCAAAATTATTAAAGATCATATTCAGGAAATCATAGTTTGCATTTAACTTTCAGTACACAGAAACACAGACACTGTTACACTTATGATAAGATTTTATTCCTGTGTAGTAGTAATTCAGATGAAAAATGTGGATGAAACTAGAAGAACTTTATTGAAGTTGGTACATTCAACTCAACAGTGGGTGTGATGATTTATTAATAAACTAAAACATTATCATAGATTCAGAAGAACTGCAGAAAATGCTTTAGTAAAAGCCTCATTAGCTCTGCTAGCTAATATATAATTGAAGATGGAAGGGCAGAGTTCATTTGTAATTCGTTCATTTTCTTAGTATTGTTCACACACATTTACTCATATATATTACCTGACACTGACAAGTTGCCGGCCTGGTAAAGATCTTCTGGTAGTTTAGAGTGAGGTTGTATCACCTTCACTTTGCAAGTCTTGCCCTGAAATGCACATGACATGTGGCAGTAGTTATAGGAAAAGCTTTTATCAGCAGAGAAACTGGGATTTTGTGTTTGTGTGGTTGTTAATTTCAGCAGACTTTTTTAATTGGGCAGTATGTACTGTTATCAGTGTGTTGAATTGGAAAGGTAATAATATTCTTCAGAGAAATGAATGTAAATTTTTCATAACTTAATACTTAAAGATCAATAATGTATGGGATGGATTGCTGAGTTTTATATACAGCATTCAAGTACTCTGTTGCAACACCCTATCTGCATATAATTGCAAAGAGCACAAAGTATGTAGAAAAACCACATGCTGGAGGTTATAGCAGAAACACTAGTTTCATTTGGAGCAGAATTAAAGAAGATAAGTGACTAAGTATTTGAATACCTTGGACACTATTATTTCTATGTTTAGAAATATTCTAGAAGGTAATTATTCTAAATCCGCCCCTCCACCCCCGTCAATCCTGCACCTCCCACCCGGTCCAGGCGTGCACACATGCAGAGAGACCCCTAAAAGTGGTGTCTGTCGCCGGTCCCTGCCGCGGCGGTGAAATTAACATGCAGCTGGGCTGCTCTGATAAATGGATTCTGTTAGGTCACCAAGGGGATGCATGTGACATTAAGTGATTTACCGTCCTTTACCTTAATGAAATTGTTTCAGCAAGATGACGCTGAGAGCTTCTAATGGATAGCTTTTCTTGATGTAATGAAATTGCATTCCTTTGGCATTTAATATAAGGTGCGGTTATTATTTACTGGAGCTTTCCCAGCGCTGCTGTTTTGCGCAGACAGTCCAGAACAAAAAGGGATTTCTGTGGCAGCATCCAGGCCAGCATGCCGTGTGACAGGCTTGAGCGCACCGGCATGTTTGCGGGAGCGTTCCCGTTAAGCATGGCCTAGCTCCACCAGCCCTTCAGGAGGCTTTCTTTGCACCTAACGCTGCCAACGCTCGTCTCCCTTACAAATACCTTCCTAATCTGTTTAACAGGCAACTGGATTACAACCAGATCAGCTGTATTGAAGATGGGGCATTTAGGGCTCTGCGTGACCTGGAAGTGCTGTAAGTATTCCTGTATCTCTTACTGGTAGCAAGAGCTCAGTATCTGGGGAGTACTAATGTAAAAGCTTATCTGCAAGCTGCAGCCTGGTGTCAGGGTGGTCTCTTGAAAAAATGTCTTAAAATAATCCTCTGCGATGTGTTATAAAATGGTAAAAATATGTGGAGAGGCAGAGGTATTCCTTTACTCTACAAGACAACCATTACACTTAATTGAAAAAAAAATTAAAAAGCAGATGGCAGATACTGTAAGAAAATAATATATTTCCTTTTAAAATGAGGGAGTGGTATTAATGAATCTAGTTAATTTTGTAAATTATCCATCACTGTTGAAGTGCTGAACATTTTCAGGATTGCCTTTGTTGTGTACTCTGACATCAGTTTGATCTTACAGATTCTGTTTAAGGAACAGTATAATATATATATATTTGACAATCTGGATGTTTTCAAAGAGGCACTTTTTTATAAAACGCTACTGTTGTGTGTTAAGATGTTTAGCATGTCCTCGTTAACTGTTTATTTTAATATTTTAGATTTTATGTGTATAAATACATATAAGTAGAAAAATATCATTTTATGTCACGAAAGGTTAGTATTGCAACACTCTTTTGCCTACTTTTTCTCACCCTCTCAAAGTGCCCATCAGTGAGGTCAAAGGTAACAAAATTAATATCAGTGACCCTTGACCTGAAAGTAGTCACTATAATGAGCAAAGTGCCTCAGTTACCAAAGAATTTGAGGCACAGGACACATTCCTGAAATACTTGCTCTGTCAGTCAAAATGTAACATTTTTTCTGGGCTTTCTACATTAAGAGAAGTGAAAGGCTTTGTGTATCAGTGATTTACTTCATGATAGTTTGAATCACACTTGGTAAACAACTTGAGGGGGGTGAGGGAGGGTGTTTTTTGTTGGGTTTTTTTGTTGTTGGTTTTGTATTTTTTTGTTGGCTTGGGTTTTTTTGTGTTGTTTGGCTTTATTTTTTTAAGATTCTTAAGTAGAGAGGCTTCTCTGGCAGTAGATAGCATCTACATGTACCAAGAAGTTGAAGAATGTATGAGCTGATGGTGGTAACATTTTTCATTATTAAGCCATAGTTGGTCTTTCTTATGAGTGAATAACTTTGACAGCTAAATTTAATTTTTATTTACTTTGTAATCATAGAATAGCAAGCCTATTGTTAACTTTCTTGTATAAAGGCATGTAAAATACACATCTAATTGTGAAGTTGATGTATTGTTGGTTGTATGGCAGTAATCCTGTTCTTCTGTGAGATTTTTATCTTTGGAACTCATATATATGACAGAATAACTTTTCCAGTGATGGCTTTATCTGGTTATTATGTTTTTTAATCCAAGCCTTTCTTTACAAGTAGATGTGTTAAATGTGTATTTAAAAAAGAAATCCAATATTATCTGCCTTTATTAACACTTGCAGTTTATAGTGTTCTAAAAAGATAATCCTTGCCAGTTGAAGTCACTGATAAAATTTTCACATCAATTTCAATGAATGCAAAAAAGGAGAAAACTCTGTTGAAAATAGTCTACTGGGAAAGTATGTAGTTAGAGTTCTGTGAATTAATATACATAGCATATTAGCTTTGTTAAAATATATACAGCTAAATTCAGTACCTTGAATTATGTTAATAAGCAATGATGTAAAGGTTAAGTTTTTTAAAAATTTAGATAGATATTTCAAACAGTACTGACGAGTTTCTTTCTAATTCAGCTTCCTTTCCAGTATGACTTAAAGAACGAAAAATATGTAGACCAGACTATACTGTATAGGCACTGTATATGCACTGAGTGGCAAATAAGACTACATGTTTTGTTCTCATTTGGAGTTATTATTCTATCTAAGCATAGAATGTGTATATTACTTCAAAATACAAGTATATGATAAAGCTTTAAAGTAATCTTTAAAGTTATTTAGGTTGTAATCCTGTTTAGTGACTGAAATGTTAACCAAAGTAACAAATCTTATATATTGGTTAAATAACTACAGAATCTTAGAGGCTATTAATGTTAAAAATACAAAATCAATCTGAAATCTGGACAATTCTGAAAGACAAAAGTAATTATACATATAATCTCTTTTTTTTTAATTTTTCTCTTTTTATTTTAAGATAAAATCTTCTATACTGGAAAAACAGTGGCTATGGGAAAATATATATTGCTGTCATATTAAAAAAATTAAGATATCTAAGGTATTTAGGAAATGTCTTTCAGTCATCACACCCTCTGCAGAAGTATGTAACGCTATGTAAAAGTATTGAGACAACTTTTTTTCCAATTTCATCTCCATAATGAAATCAAGCATTTTCATCATTAGCAAGAAATAGTTATGAAAATAATTTTATCCCTTATGTCTACTTCTGATACTTTTCTATACTCTTCCAAAAATAAATCAATAGCTCATGCATACAAAATGGCAAGGCAAACATCAAACATCTGAAATTGAAAATTAAAACATTTGAAGATACACCTTCTTTAAACAGCTAACAGCCATGGAAACATGTACTGATTTCCATTCCCTTCATTGAAAAGAGATGATTTTAAAACCTTGTAAGAAGTCATGCAGGAAGAACTATGAAAGCTGGCACTTGCCATGTGGACAGTGTAAGAAAATCCTGCCAAAATTTACCGATTGTCATTTATTCATTAAGACAACTTCTGTGGATATACCCACTTGGCCATTTTTTTGTTTCATTTTTGTTCTCTTTTCATTTTTATTTTGTTTTCTTTCAATTTTGAAAGACAGCATGGTTCTCCCTTTTAATTCCTCTTTTGATTATTCTCTTCTTTGTTTATGTAGCCCTAAGGGCATGCAGGGGAAGAAACCTTATGCACACCCTTATGTACAGTGAAGAAAACATTTAGGTCATGGAATGAGTAAGCACACAAAGGTAAAATGCAGCACATTGCACCAGTAATTAATTGGTTTTTTTATGTGGAGGTGTATAGCCTGATCCTGTTCAGGGTGCTGTAAATTTACGTTTCTGTGTTTCAGAACAAGAGAGTACTTAAAATTTTATTTTAAATGTGCACAAATTACATTTTGTACTTAAAAAAAAAACCCAAAATCAAACCAGAAAAATTAAAGCGGCTTTTGTTTCAAAAGAAAAAAACATTTGGTCAGTGGGAATTATTATTTATTAGTGCCATAATTACATGTTTAAAAGGCTGGAGCACATTCTCCATTCTGCTGAAATGAGTAACCTGTAAGTCAAAACTATAAATTCTATCACTTGTTTCCTTGTTCTGGAGTCAAGCTTGTTTGCATTTTATTTGCAGCCTAAAGACAATATTTAACTGCAGGATTGTTCATAAAGTTTCTTTATCTTTACAAACTACACTTACCAAGTATGATGGCTCTGTTCTAGCCAACAATTGGCTAAGATTTGTTCTTAGTTACTATCTCAAGTTGCAGGCACTTTGTCTAAAATTTAAATTATTAGTTTGCAAAAATATTAAGATTCCTGACTCCTTCCATTGTATAACAGAAGCTCCCCTATTGTTCAGGCAGCTCTGGATCATCTGTAGCAGCTCTGTTACATATAAAACCTAATTGCAGCCCAGAGTTAAACTTTTCCTAAAATTCTTGAAAAAAGAGGCAGATCTTGTATCCTCTTCAAAAAATACAGACTCTCAGAAGCTAGAAAGAGGAAACAGATTCCTAGATTTAAGGAATTTTCTCAAAGAACCCTCTCTTTTACATCAGGATGACAACCTTAGATTGAGTGCTGTGTTCTCAACACTGATGGAAGCTCCGTTTGAGTGAGTCATAGGTTACTGGGACCTCAGATTACTTAATATTATTAATGGAATGGTCAAACCATAGTGTTTTATCAGAGTTTGAATAGGGACATACAGTGTATCTAAAAGCATGCTTTTTCCTGATACCCATCCCTAAAAACAGTACACCATATTAATGAGCTATGTGTTTTTTTAAAGTGTGGAAAATGTGACATAACTGTAACATGTTAATATGCTTCTTCTTGACTTCACAGCACGCTCAACAATAACAACATTACTCGACTGTCCGTGGCAAGTTTCAACCATATGCCCAAACTGAGAACATTGTAAGTAGTCCCACTGAAACTGGCTGCCATTTTCATCAGTCCAGCCTATAATCTTTTTCTCTATCAAGTTTTGTCAGTGGTCTTAAAATACATATACAAGCAAAGAAAGTATAAGCTAAATTTAAAAAAATATTGAGGTATCATGCGGTTGATAAGTGGGAAGTCTGTGTGTGCATGCATGGCAGCTGATTCTAAAAGGTAAAGCTAGCAAGTGACCCCAAAGCTGTTAGTTGGGGCTCAGGAGATAAAGAAGCAGTTGCATCATTTTCATCAGCTTTTTAAGTATGTGGGATTAATAAGTCCATGAAAACAGTTTCATGTCCTTTTCCCGGCTAGATTTTCCATAATGCTATATTCAGTCACAGAAAAGCTTCACTTTCTAACAAGAAAGATGGGGGCAGAGGGGATTATCTTTTATATGTTACAGCTGTATAGAGAAAGAAATTGATGTTTTTTGAAAGTCAAAAATTTGTTTTACTTTGAGCTATTGAATGGGTCACATTTCATTTAGGAACATGGAAGAATCTTTGATTGGCTGTCAGATGTGATAAATGGGAAATCTTTATGCTTTTATTACTGTACTGCTAGCAGACCTAATTAAACTAAACTGGCTCTCCAACATTCTTTGTAACATAAAATTATAGCATCATCCGGGAGTGCTATTATAATTAAAGTTGTGTCAGCATTTACAATAAGGTCCCCATATTTAGAGGTTATGACTTTCACAGAAGAACGCGTCAGACTTCTAAAACAAAACACAGCAAAAAAGAGTGTGAATGCAAGTGATACAGTTTGGGGTTCTGTCTTTCATATGTTTTTACTGAAATAAGAAAAATGTATATTGTGTTGAGTGGCAAAATGAGAATATATCAAGGGTTAGTTCTGAGACTCTCTTTCAAACAGATTTTCCAGTGAAGTGATAATCTAAAATGAATGAGATGTTTCTATGACAGTTAAAGAGTAGCTCTTACTATTATAGAACTACTGTTACGAAGAGCCTGTCCATTTTCTTTTACGCATGTTGAGTTGCACAATTGTTTTGAAATCAGTAGGGCTATTCACTCAAGTTAACATACCATTCATAACTGAAGAAACTTCACGCAGGTGAGTAGTTCTGTTGATTTTACAAGAGAATTGTAACTACTCTTGCTTGGACAAATACAAGAGTACTTAAATTGTGCTGACCGTGGGCTTTTGGTGGCCTCAGTTGTATTTTGAGAATAGAATTTCATTCCATTCTCTCAAGTCTAAGACTTGAGAACATGAGTGTCTGTGCCTCTTTCAAATCTTCAAATACAGTTTGTATTCTGAACAACAAATTACAGTGAATCAAATTAGCAACATTAGCACTTTTTTGGTGCAATATTTCATCTTTTGAGAATTTATTTTAGAAACAGAAGAAAATGGACACACAGAATCATAGATTATAGCTGTAACATCCCATTCGCACTCAGAATATGCTTGTATAACCGTATTGATTTCAGCGGCATTAGTTCTGATTTGCAGTGGCGTTCTTGCCTACAGCTGGCCACAGATTGTATTGAATGAGTGTGCTGTATTGTGATCTATATTTGCAAAGAACCCACCCAAGAATTAGTACAGGAAAATACATTGCTTTTAAATTTTCATCATTTCTGCAGCAAAGAAAAAGATGAGTTAGTTAAAATCTTTTATGTTGGTTACACATTTCATGTTGCTTTACAGATTTTTTAATAGATTAATTAGACTCTATTGTCAAAATTCTGATTTTCTTGCCCTTCCTTCCCTGCCCTTATGTAGCTAGGACTGAGCCCATCAACTAAAAGGAACCAAAATTACATTACTCTGTTATGTATGATTCTGAGTAAGAGTTTGATTTATAGCAGTGGACATCTTTTTTTGTAGTTCGAGAAAATGTAAGAGTCAGAGACAAGTAAGAGCCAGAGAAAAGTAATTTACCTAATTTGGTGAATACATCTGTCCAATATTTTATCAACGGCACAGTGCTTTTTGCCACTTGGCAAGAAGCCATGGTCCTGTGTCAGACCCTGCCAACAGAGAGGCGACTTACTTGATTCCAGTGCTTGCTGCCATTTGGTCTTTTAATTTCAGGCATTGCTTAGAACGTAGGTCCCTAAGAGCCAAAAGCAGCTAATCCCCTTTTCTGTGATTAAACAAGAGAGGAAATCAGAAAAGGGATGTGAAAGAAGGTGTTTTATATTGAGTTATTACCCTGTCTTGTTCAGCAGAAAATGAATATGACCTGTTAAAGGGATTTTGCAGGCTGTTTCTATAGAGACTAATAATGGCCAGACTTAAAGATATATCTAATTGGAAACCAAATCTTTTATTAACTCTTTTTTTCTGACAGTATATTATCACTATAGGGCAATTTACTGAAGACATTTTTGTCTTCACTATTTTTACAGATCTGGTCTAAAGAATCCCACGGCAGCTTTCAAGCTCTTATATATTTACTTCTTTTAGACAAGAGAAAAGAAACTACAGATAGGTTACATTATTAGGAAGCTGCCTTTTTTCTTCCAATTAATTAGACCACAAATAAAAAGTAATTTTGTTGCTTGTACAGTTTTATTTATTAGCATTTACCTCCCAGACTTTTAAAGAAAGATGTGAAAAATTTATGCCTCATTAACAGTTTTTATTAATAAATTGGCATAGTTGCTTACTGAAGGAGGAACTGGGCAAATTGGTGTCTTTTCTGTTTGTTCTTCCTAATTTTAAGGTATTGACATGTTTCTTTCCATGCAGTCGTCTTCACTCCAACAACCTCTATTGCGATTGCCATCTGGCCTGGTTGTCTGACTGGCTGCGGCAGCGGCCGCGGGTTGGCCTCTACACCCAGTGCATGGGGCCATCTCATCTCCGGGGACACAATGTAGCTGAGGTCCAGAAACGGGAGTTTGTCTGCAGTGGTAAGGGAAGCAGATTCGCTCACCGAGTCCTGTTTTAAAACACACCTACCGACAGCTCAGCAGTGATGGCTAGTGCTGCTTGTTGACTTTTGCTAGCTGTTGCATAATCCGAGCATTAATGTTTATTAAAAAATAAACTAGTCATTTTTATCGCAATTTGTGGCTTGTGTGGGGATGCTTCTGGCCTTACAAGTTTTGTGTAAATGCTGCATTCACATAGGTTACATAGCCTTCTAAAAGTATAATTATGGGTAGAGATACGGAAAATGAAATAAAAGGTGCACTGACTGAGAACATAAGGCCTTTAGTAGTAAGGAATTATTCTTTTTTAACTTTACAAGTTGTTTCTTTTTCTTGTTATTTCCTGCAGTTTAAATAATATTCTGAATCCCTAGGGATGTGAATGTTATTGGTATGCTTTAGTGCACTGAGTTATTTTCTGATATGAAATAATGAAATGACTAACAGTTCGTTACTAATTGCATTTTCTCTATTCAATTTCTTTTTCCTTCATTCATATCTTCTAGATGAGGAGGAAGGCAAGTTTATCTTTCTTATTTAAATATTTTTAGACTCAAATTGAAAATTTTCTGTAAACTTTGTCCACTGTTTCAAGTTTCCTCAAAAACATTAAAATCCAGCTGCAATACAGCTATTTGTCTTTTCAGTGATTCAGCAGG